CTCCTCAGTCCCCAGTCCTCCTCCTACTCGTCAGTCTTCCTCCTCCTCCTTATCCTCAGTCATCCTCCTCCTCCTCGGTCCTTCTCCTCCTCGTCAGTCCTCCTCCTCCTCCTCGTCAGTCTTCTTTCTCCTTCTCCTTCTTCTCCTCCTACTCCTAAGTCATCCTCCTCCTCCTCAGTCCTCCCCCAGTCCTCCTCCTCATCAGTCCTCCCCCAGTCCTCCTTCTCCTCCTCCTCATCCTCAGTCCTCCTTCTCCTCCTCCTCATCCTCAGTCCTCCTCCTCCTCAGTCCTCCCCAAGTCCTCCTCTTCCTCAGTCCTCCCCCAGTCCTCCTTCTCCTCCTGATCCTCAGTCCTCCTCCTCAGTCCTCGTCCTCGTCCTCCTTCTCGTTTTCTTCCTCCTCCTCACCAATCCTGCTCCTCTTCCTCAGTCCTCCCTCTCCTCTTCAGTCCTCCTTCTCCTCCTCCTCATCCTCTTCAGTCCTCTTCCTCAGTCCTCATCTTCTTCCTCCTCAGTCCTCCTCCTCCTCAGTCCCCAGTCCTCCTCCTACTCGTCAGTCTTCCTCCTCCTCCTACTCGTCAGTCTTCCTCCTCCTCCTTCTCCTCAGTCATCCTCCTCCTCCTCGGTCCTTCTCCTCCTCGTCAGTCCTCCTCCTCCTCCTCGTCAGTCTTCTTTCTCCTTCTCCTTCTTCTCCTCCTACTCCTAAGTCATCCTCCTCCTCCTCAGTCCTCCCCCAGTCCTCCTCCTCATCAGTCCTCCCCCAGTCCTCCTTCTCCTCCTCCTCATCCTCAGTCCTCCTTCTCCTCCTCCTCATCCTCAGTCCTCCTCCTCCTCAGTCCTCCCCAAGTCCTCCTCTTCCTCAGTCCTCCCCCAGTCCTCCTTCTCCTCCTGATCCTCAGTCCTCCTCCTCAGTCCTCGTCCTCGTCCTCCTTCTCGTTTTCTTCCTCCTCCTCACCAATCCTGCTCCTCTTCCTCAGTCCTCCCTCTCCTCTTCAGTCCTCCTTCTCCTCCTCCTCATCCTCTTCAGTCCTCTTCCTCAGTCCTCATCTTCTTCCTCCTCAGTCCTCCTCCTCCTCAGTCCCCAGTCCTCCTCCTACTCGTCAGTCTTCCTCCTCCTCCTTCTCCTCAGTCATCCTCCTCCTCCTCGGTCCTTCTCCTCCTCGTCAGTCCTCCTCCTCCTCCTCGTCAGTCTTCTTTCTCCTTCTCCTTCTTCTCCTCCTACTCCTAAGTCATCCTCCTCCTCCTCAGTCCTCCCCCAGTCCTCCTCCTCATCAGTCCTCCCCCAGTCCTCCTTCTCCTCCTCCTCATCCTCAGTCCTCCTTCTCCTCCTCCTCATCCTCAGTCCTCCTCCTCCTCAGTCCTCCCCAAGTCCTCCTCTTCCTCAGTCCTCCCCCAGTCCTCCTTCTCCTCCTGATCCTCAGTCCTCCTCCTCAGTCCTCGTCCTCGTCCTCCTTCTCGTTTTCTTCCTCCTCCTCACCAATCCTGCTCCTCTTCCTCAGTCCTCCCTCTCCTCTTCAGTCCTCCTCCTCCTCAGTCCTCCTCGGTCCTTCTCCTCCTCCTCAGTCCTCCCCAGTCCTCCTCTTTCTCATCAGTCTTCCTCCTTCTCCTTCTCCTCCTCAGTTCTCCTCCTCATCCTCCTCCTCCTTCTCCTCTTCCTTCTGCTCCTAATCAGTCCTCCTCCTCAGTCGTCCTCCTCCTCGTCCTTAGTCCTCGTCCTCATCCTCATCGTCCTTAGTCTTCGTCCTCATCCTCTTAGTCCTCGTCCTCATCCTCCTAGTCCTCGTCCTGGTCCTCCTCAGTCTTCCTCCCCTGTCCTCCTCAGTCCTCCCCCAGTCCTCCTTCTCCTCATCTTCAGTCTTCCTTCTCCTCCTCCTTCTCCTCCTAATCAGTCCTCCTCCTCAGTCCTCGTCCTCGCTCTCGTCTTCGTCCTTAGTCGTCCTCGTCCTTAGCCCTCGCGTCCTCTTAGTCCTCCTCCTCCCCGTCCTCAGTACTCCTCTTCCTCCTCCTCCTCACCAATCCTGCTCCTCTTCGTCAGTCCTCCCTCTCCTCTTCAGTCCTCCTCCTCCTCAGTCCTCCTCGTCCTCCTCAGTCCTCTTCGGTCCTTCTCCTCCTCGTCAATCCTCCCCAGTCCTCCTCCTCATCAGTCTTCCTCCTCCTCCTCCTCCTCCTCCTCCTCCTCAATCCTCCTCGTCTTCAGTCCTCCTCCTCCTCCTCATCAGTTTACACAATTTATTGTTACTAAAATGTTTTTAAACGCATTTGAGTCCAGGTAACATATTGACATGTTACTGTTACTGACTCAAAATGTGCTCGAGAATTTTTTTGTTTAACAGAGTTTTACTCTCCAGTACTATGGAAAAGTTGTTACATGATAAATAAAGATTTTGATAAATAAAGTGATTTTCATCCCTTTTTATGTTATTAAAAATTGTGTAGACTATTCTTTGTATCTAACTGAGGATTGGAAGTTTGAGAAAGGACCATGGTCATTAACCGTGCTACCCATTTCTGCAGATAGCCTGTTACAAATTGTGGAGACAATTTGAATCAAAAGTTACTAAAGCGTTCGCTATTTGTTACGATTGTTATTACCAACCGTACCTCTTTCAATTGTGGACCGGGGTGGATGTTTCTGTCAAACAAGAGTTGATACGACAGTGTGTTGATTTTCGGACGAAACGATTCTTGTTTGGAACAAGAAACCATTTTGGGGTTCTGGGACCACCACCAATCGATTTCTTGTCATATTTAAGTACAGAAATAGCTAACTATATCGCCTAGAAACCTCAGAGGAAAGATTTAAATTTTCCCGATTTTTCCGATATGAGGGTTGATGAGGCCAAAATCGGGATCGGAATGATCGGAAAAATCGGGTTGGACCCCCCCCCCAACTTATACTCAGAAAGGAGATTCGAATAAAACTTTAGACCGAAAAAACAGAATTACCAGTTTTGACTCTCAAAATTGCACTGTACTCTACATCAGTATAATATATAATACCCATTAAACTATTCATATCCTAGGAGTAGAGTTTCTCAAAATTACATTGTGACAAATGGAATAAGTATGTCTTTCAACCAATTTTAAACATATCCACTGTATTTTTACTGGAAGTGGTAGATTGTTGTAATTTTTGGGTCCAATAAAACTAAAAGATTTCTGCCCAGCATGTGATGCTGCATGAGGAACAATATATTTTACAGTGTTCATGGTAACTGTACGAACTAATTTCCTGTAGATAGTCAGGGATCATTCTAATAATTATGCGCGAAAAGTGCAATCTTGACAGCAATCCTCTATTTGACTTAATAATATTGTATTAAAAACTGAATCTTTACGATAACTTAACAATAAACTTACATTAACAAAACAAATTAACAACGCATAGCACAATTGACAAAGCGTAATGCAATTTAAATAAGTTCCGCACTCAGTAAAATAACAAGTTACTTGTTACTTTTCATGGCAAGTTTCATTAGGTTAACATTTCTTGAACTTGTGTTTACGGGATTGTGTCATGTCAGATATCAATAGGCTACTTTGATGACGTCCTTTCCTCTTCTTAAGGTGAGCCTAAACTGTACATTCTCTGAGATATATAGCTTAATATTTATAGAAATTTGGAAATTAAGGCCAAAAGACCACTAAAAATGAAGAAAACTGCCCATATCTCAGTTCGCGATTTTCGCGAAAGTGACTTCATCAAAAAGCCTATTTAAGGCTTTTTCATTTTTCAAAATTTTCCCATGAAATTTTTAGGTTAGGTTTAAAATCGTCTCAGTACCTTATCGTTTGCCCCGGATTTTAGATTTAGGCCTTTTAAAAAAATTTGGCGGCCAAAAATAAAACTATTTTTCATATAAAGTTGGTTTCATTCAAAAATATTGATATTTGACCAATTTATGGGCCAAAATATATCATATTTAGTGTGTATGCCCAAAAAGGGGCATATGGTTTTTTGCTCATAACTCAGTAATTTTTTGTTTAATCTGGATGAAAATTTATATTCAAGTTCTAGTTTGTTGTTTAACTGCTGTGTCAGAATCAAGTTTCACACATTTTAGGCTGAACAATTGCAATCAAATCGTCGCTAAAACGTAGCGTTAAGCTGAGAAAGGTGCAACTTAATTGATACTTAATCGGTACTTAATCGATACTTAATCGGGCACAGGAAACATCAAAGAATACAGCGCTTCAGTTACTACTTACCTAGGGAATCCAAATTAGAGCACATGTTCCCCAGATTCTAATTCTGGACCACTAAACTGATCTTTCTGTGAAGTAGTAAACTTGCCAAGAAAGCAGGACGAGCACTTATCACCCCATATAATGCGCTGGTTTGATCATACTTTGTTAAAGAAATGTTGAGGTTGTACTAATCTATATTTAGGGTACCCTTGTAGTTTTGCAGCCAAGCTCCCATTTTACGGTTGACGATATTGTTGACAGCTATTGTTACGCAGGGAAAGCAAAACAAAGGATAGGTCGTAGGTTTCTTCCTCTGGTTGGTATGTCGAGCTGTTTCATTTCAACAATGCGAGCAGCGCATCTGCTACTGTTTTAGAGCGTCACTGTGAGGATATTATAGCCAGTCCACTCCCTGGCTCCATAATATGAAGGACTTGTTTTAATTCTTAATGAAAAGCTCAAACACAACTTAATTTTGGTCTGACATTGTCCTTTTAGACCTGCAGCCACCATTCTATAAATAAAAAGTCCCGTCAAAAGTCCGCTACTAAACACCGCATCACGGCTATGGGCTATAAACTTGAGTATTATTAATTAATTTATTACATTAATTAATATTATTTGCTTTTATGGTACCACATCGTGGTTTCATTTGAACCGCATTTTGGGATCAAGGTATAACTGTCAAGGCCGTTAATTTACCGGTACCCCCCTCCCCCCCTTCAATGATTGCTATCCTGTGTCAACCGAAAATAATTCACCGTATTATAATTTCTGAACGTTATTTGTGACTGATCATCTCGTACTATGCAGCGGACGTATCAAGTCTGTACACGATAAAACAGCTGTTGGAGACCAGATTACCCGGTATACTGATAGTGGAGTGCTTCAACCTGAATCTAGTGTGTGACAAGCTCGACATTAAATCCTACCCCGTCGTATTCTTCGCCAGGTTTGTACCTCGTCGTATTCTTCGCCAGGTTTGTACCCCGTCGTATTCTTCGCCAGGTTTGGTCGTCTTCTTCGCCAGGTTTGGTTGTTTCTGTCATTTTGTGCTGGGTTGGTTTGGTTCTAGGTGAGGTTCGCTTGCGCGGGTCAATTTTATGTGTATTTTAACTTGGAGCCGCGCAAGCAATTCGAACCTATACAAACGTTAACACAGTTAGACATATTTCTCAGAGAATTTTCATTATTTGGATTCGACCTGGATCATTATCATTAGATTTAATACCAAATGGCTTTAATATAATACCAATTCGGTAAAATACTTGTTGTTATGACTTAACAATATCTTAAAACTAAATAAAGTAAACCGCACAGGAACAACGAGACCCTCCACTACGCTGGTCCTATGGAGGAGGTTGCTCTGAACACCTTCAGAGAGCTGATAGAACACCCTGTAGTTACCAGAGCGCACCGGATACAAGTTGATCTCGTTCTCAAAGGTAAGTAGGTAACAGGAAATGAGTTGATTCATGATTTGATATTGTGATTCTAACTTATAATTTGACGCTGATTATAACGTCACTCAACCCCCTGATGACGTCACTTTTCCTGATTACATCACTTAAACCTTGATGACGTCATGTTTTCCTGATGACGTCATGCTTCCCTGATGACGTCACCACTCTCCTACAGGAGCGGACAACAAGGCGGTTGTGATGATCAGTTCGGGTAAGAGTGAACTGGAAGACATGTTCCACTTAGCTTGTGATGAGGTGTATGGCTTTATTCGGTGTTATCTCCTCGACTCCAAGAACCCGTGAGTACCAGATTTCGTTGAGCTCCGTAGTAAGTAATGTTTGTGATGCTTTGGGTATATTATACGGGATAGAAATAATCTTGATATTGAATGATAAATTTGAAATATGAGGTGTTAGCAGCAGCAGTAACCGCAGACACCGCGGTAATTCATCTTTAGTTTTAGTGTAGGTCTGATTAATTGAGATCTAAAAAGTTTTAGATATTCTTCCTTTCCGATGAAAACTTCACGGTCTAAAGATAATCTTTGTTTAATCAGACTTGGTAAGACGTATTCTGCCCTCTTATCTAGTGCTAATAAAAACTGGAAAGCCATCTGCCTTGTCCAATATCCAAGATTTTACATAGCTTCAAGAGGAGTTTCAGATTAAATAATCACTGCCAGCTGATGGCTTGAGCGCTAAACTACAAATTGATTTAAAGAAAATAACGATACTTTACAATTGTTATACAGAAACTATCTCCTATCTTTTGGTGGTAGCAGATTCACCGTTTGTCGGGGACACCATAATTCTAACGCTATTAAACTCAACAGGTTTATAGTTGTTGTAATGCACAACATATCAGTGTGTGATTTGATCCAGACTATAATATTGCTTTTGTTACCGATTTTAATATATTTGATGGCTGATGAGTGGGTTCTAGGGACTGTCCTTGGGTACACTATTTTTATCTGAACTCAGTTTATAGCTTCTCTGCCAGCAGTGCAGCGTCTGCTTTAGTATTTTTTAAATGTACAATAAAATTCAATGAAATAAGGGGAAAAATTGCTTACAAAAATCTATCGAGGTATTTTAGAATAGATATTACAAATTTTGTATAGATTCTATTCTTTATTAGTTTAGTTGCTTCGTTAATCCCAGAGGCTATGCAATTAAAAACTAAGATCCCCTATCCATATTTGGGATCAGGCAGAATTTTCGGAATTTTATTGAAATATCTTCCTGTTATCTCATATCTGGTGATAATTCATAATTAGTGCTTTTCTGGAAAACTATTTAGTCTTTAAGTTTGTATATATAATAGTGATCTAAAAACATGTATGATGCAAACAATCTATGGGAAATAGCCGTCGCTCAACAACAAATGTAAGCGGCTACTAACCAGCTATAAGCCGGCTTATAGCCGGCTATAAAAATTGTAGCCGGCTATAAGCCGGTTAGTAGCCGGCTTATAGCCGGTCGGTGATCTACCAACTGGCCCAATCTATAAACAAAATATAGTTTTAATAAGTCTTATCTGAAGCTTACATCATGAGTTCTATTTTTTCAAATTAACTTCACCACTTTTGGTGACATCATCGTAATTTGGTGGTGGGATGTTTGCTCCTCCAGTCGCCGAGTTGTCGTATACAGTAGATATCCCAGTGCCAACGTTTGCGTTGGGTGGGTAGGTATCACCGGTTGCAGGTGGTGGGTAGATACCATCGGTTGCTGGTGGTGGGAAGGTACTTCCGGTAGTGGGTGTGACATCATCGTAACTTGGTGGTGGGAGGTTTGCTCCTCCAGCTGCTGAGTGCAAGTGGTCATATGGGATAGATATCCCAGCTCTAACGGTTGCGTGTGGAGGGTAGGTACCACCGGTTGCAGGTGATGGGTAGTTACCACCGGTTGCAGGTGGTGGGTAGGTACCATCGGTTGCTGGTGGTGGGTAGTTACCACCGGTTGCAGGTGGTGGGTAGTTACCTCCGGTTGCAGGTGATGGGTAGGTACCACCGGTTGCAGGTGGTGGGTAGGTACCTTCGGTAGCGGGTGTGGGGTAAATCATGTCATCACTCTGACTGTTCTTTCGACAATGTTTGCAACGCCAGACATATATATATACACATATGCTCATGATCACACAAAAGATAAACGCGCATAGTAATCCAATAGGGTCGTCTTCACCATCATAATTATTTTCAGTATATCTAGATCTGGTTAATCTGGTTAATTTGAATAATCTGTCGTACATGCAACCAAAAGTAATATTCATCCTTTCGTAAATACAACCATCTGCAACATTGTAGTCTGCTTCAATAAGGTCGTATATTTGACACTGTTCCGCAGCGGAACACATGTTGTAAATTGACGTTGTAACGTTTTCAATGACTTTACCTGAATTGATAATTGATTGAGCTCGGAGTACGATTATAATTTTAGGTATAAAGATTATAAAGACCTGCACATTAAACAACAAGAATTGCGCCCGTTGTTTCGTTTTGGCGGACGCTAGATTTCCATTCACTATAACTATAAGAATAAGCTCTAATGAGTTCACTTCATAATAATAATATTGATAGATTATGCTTTAAATACAGGAAAAACTTGGAGTTCAATTCAATTGTCTTAGAACTTAAACTTGTATCTGTAATTCAAGAAATTGTAAGGAAAAATAAACTATACTCATGTTTTATACACATCAGTATACTACGCGTGCCACGTACAAATTGGGCTTATTACCTTAGAATACTATACATTACATGTAGTATATACAATATACAATAAAATACACTCGCGCCGCGCATTCATTGACCACAGGCTAGCTATGGTCAATGAATGGCTAAAAATCACACACAGGATTTCGTAACTCGGTAACATTAATTTAAAAAATGTTAATATTAACTTACCAGAGCATTCGGGAGTAAGATCAAAGAGCAGAGCTTCAAATATGTGGATCTTGGTTTCAGGTTTGCACCTGATCGATAATTGTTGATTTTTGTCGAACTCAAACTGAGCTAGGTGGAGTTCTGAAACAGGTCGAAATTCATCAATCGGGCAGAGATGCTCCAAAAACGAGTTCTTAAGGATGCCGTGGGTCTAATATTATCTAATCAAAAATTATTAGATAATTACGTATCTACAGGGTAATAAAAACACATTATTTAACGAAAAAAGGGAATAAAGTTATAAATACAAAAAGAAATAAGTGTAAAAGTTTTCAGACGAACCTTGTCCTCTTGCTTTGCTTTGACATTCCCGATACACATCAGTTGAAAAGTTAACATTATTCACGACGCTTGAATTCTCCCATCCAAACGTTGTGCTGTTATGTTTGTAGCATCCGGTGTATTCTGTCGTACTCTTCTTCGGATCAGCTGATTCTGATAGTATCATGTGACATATCACAGATAAGGTCGCTATTCTGATTTCCATGAAATCCCTACAGACGTTCTTAAATTTATGTTTGCGAAACTAAATTGTGCATTACTAATACACAATAGCTCGGAAGACGGGCATACTACTATCGTTGAATGTAAAAATAAACATCTCAAAGATTTAAATTTATGTGTAAAATTTCATAACTATAGTTTTAACTCTGCCTTCACATAATCAATAGTTCTTAAGAATATCAGGTTTTATTTCCTTTCAGAACCATATAGAGACGAAATTGCAACTCATCGGAAAGTTGCCAAGAACAAACTTTATTAAAGTTAGGATCAAATGAGAAAAAACGTAATTCATTTGATAGGAAACTATCTAACTATGTTTCAAAATTTGCTCCTTCATAAAAATGATTAGATACTTTTAAAAAATCCCAACATTGTTTTTTGCATCGACCTATATGTTCAGTGTTCTAAAGTTACAATAACCGACAAGCTATCATTATAAATATCAAGAGCAGTTTCGACGGGTGCAACCCTTTCTGACTGATGTTGCTATCAAAACTGAAAACCGGGATTCTTGCTGTTTTAAAATCTATATTTCGACAGTCCATAATATCGCAAATTCTAATGTACACATTTAGAATAGATCTATCGTTCACATATTATTACGTAATCAATATTTTAGCAATGTTCACCCCCCCCCCCCCCCGTAATCAACCGTTAGCACTTAGAAACCCCCCCCCCCTCTCGGCTGATAACGTAATATATAAATAAATAAACTACGATTTCTACTGTTTCCAATGAATATTATTTCAATTTGTAATTGCAGATGCAACGTACATCGAGTATGTGCAAAATGTTGTGAAACAGAAGTAATCCGATATTCACCACTCGTCAAGTATAGGCATAGCGCACTACAGTCTAATGGATTTTCAGGATGAGAGTTTGTGAATATAGTGAGATCGACAAATAAAACACGTGGCATTCAATGTATAATGTTTGTCTTTGAACACCTTACTTCACAAATTCGAACGATAATTGTAAACACACAAAAAAATGTTTCAGAAATGTTTGTAAATGTAAGTGAAGGTGTCCTAGAGGGCTGAAATCCTCAGTCCTAGTCTCCTTTGTGGTGGTGGTGACACCTGTGGTGGCGTCTCCACTCTCCTGGCATGAACTTTCCTAGCGTGTGCCAAAACAATATCGCCCATATCTCAGTTCGCGATATTTGCGAAACTGATTTCTATTGTTTTGAGCGAAATCAGTTTCGCAAATATCGCGAACTGAGATATGGACGATTTTGTTACAATTAATTTTTTACAATTATTTGAACACAGAATACACAGTTAGATAGATATTGAGCTTATAATCGTAGAGAATGTGTAGTTTAGGCTTACCCTTTATATAAAGTTGGTTTCATTCAAAAATATTGATATTTAACCAATTTATGGGCCAAAATCGATCGAATTTGGTGCGTATGCCCAAATATGGTCATATAGTTTTTAGCTCATAACTCAATAGGTTTTGGGCATGTTCAGGGTATTTGGCTAAATTGGGCCTAATTTGGACCAAATATGGGCGTGGCTGCCCCGCGAACACTGTTTGGCGGTTGGGGTTCGGGACCCCCTCAAAAGTTCGGTCACCGGTCCTAGTTTGTTGGTCACAATTTGGGATCAAGCAGAATCTCGGGAATTTTATTGTAACATCTTCCTGTTATCTGGTGATAATTCATAATTAGTGCTCTTCTGGAAAACTATTTAGTCTTTAAGTTTGTATATATAATAGTGATAAAAACATATACACGCAAACAATTTATTAACAAAATATAGTTAATCAGTCTTATCTGAAGCTTACATCATGAATTCTTTTTTCAAATTAACTTCACCACTTTTGGTGACATCATCGTAATTTGGTGGTGGGAGGTTTGCTCCTCCAGTCGCCGAGTTGTCATATGCAGTAGATATCCCAGCTCCAACGTTTGCGTTGGGTGGGTAGGTACCACCGGTTGCAGGTGATGGGTTGGTACCTCCGGCAGTGGGTGTGACATCATCGTAACTTGGTGGTGGAAGGTTTGTTCCTCCAGTCGCTGAGTGGTCATATGGGATTTTAGATATCCCAGCTCCAACAGTTGCAAGTGATGAGTAGGTACCTTCGGTTGCAGGTGGTGGGTTGGTACCTCCGGTTGCAGGTGGTGGGTAGTTACCACCGGTTGCAGGTGGTGGGTAGTTACCTCCGGTTGCAGGTGATGAGTAGGTGCGTCCGGTTGCAGGTGGTGGGTTGGTACGTCCGGTTGTAGGTGGTGGGTTGGAACCGTCCGGTTGCAGCTGGTGGGTTAAAACGTCCGATTGCAGGTGATGGGTAAGTACCACCGGTTGCATGTGGTGGGTAGGTACCACCGAATGAAGGTTGTGGGTAGGTACTTCCTCTTTCAGGTGGTGGGTAGTTACTACCGGTTGCAGGTGGTGGGTAATTACCACCGGTTGCAGGTGGTGGGTAATTACCACCGGTTGCAGGTGGTGGGTAGGTACCACCGGTTGCAGGTGGTGGGTAGGTACCACCGGTTGCAGGTAGTGGGTAGGTACCACCGGTTGCAGGTGGTGGGTAGGTACCTCCGGTTGCAGGTGGTGGGGAAATCATTCTACCACTCTGACTGTATTTTCCACAACGTTTGTAACAACAGCAGCAGCAGATACATAAGAAGATGACCAGTGGCACACCAAAGAAAGTCCCGAAAACGATTATCCCTTCAATGTTAACGCATGATTTATAACTGCATGAACCATCATCATTAAACTCATTATATCTGGTTAATCTGGTTAATTTGAACAATCTGTCGTACATGCATCCAAAAGTAATATTCATCCTTTCGTAAATACAACCATCTGCAACATTGTACTCTGCTTCAATAAGGTCGTATATTTGACACTGTTCTGCAGCGGAACACATGTTGTAAATTGACGTTGTAACGTTTTTAATGTCTTTACCTGAATTGATAATTGATTGAGCTCGGAGTATGATTCTAATTTTAGGGAAAGATTATAAAGATTTGCACATTAAACAACAAGAATTGCGCCCGTTGTTTTGTTTTGGCGGACGCTAGATTTCCATTCACTATAACTATAAGTATAAGCTCTAATCAGCTCACTTTATAGTAATAATGTTGATAGATTATGCTTTAAATACGGGAAACACTTGAAATTCAATTCAATTGCCGTAGAACTTAACTTGCATCTGTGATTTAAAAAAATTGTATGCAAAAGTAAACTATACTCATGTTTTTATACAACACCAGCCATTGAAAAGTTTGATGATGTCTTATAATAACACTAGGGTTAAAGTCCCTACCACTGATTTAGATGTCGGAGGGGACCGGATTGATGACTCTCTCACCCTAAAACTCCCTAGGAGAGGGGTGACAGATGATATGCCGGCTCCTTCACCCGGCACAAAAAATAACATAAAACAACAAAAAAAGGATGGGGATGCATTGGTTTCTTGTAGTGAGGTAGCTCTAGTAGGGACATTTAATGTCCGAACTGCTAGAGAAGGTTACAAGCGCCTTGTACTCGTGACTCAGTTTCTGGAGAGTGGCATGGAGATCCTTGGGATCCAAGAACATAGGATTGTCCACCAGGAGCCGATCAAGATCGAAAAGTTCAAAGAGGGGGTTAGCTTGGTAACTGTTTCAGCATGGAGGAATGGAGCAGGAGCAGCCACTGGTGGAGTGGGCTTTCTGCTGACTAGAAGAGCATACAGCGCAATCAGCCTCATTAAACCCTATGGCTCAAGGGTGCTGACTATCTCTTTCAACGGAAATCCCAGACTCACAACTATAACTGCCTATAGTCCTACCGAGGCAGCACTAGTTGAAGAAGCGGAGGATTTTCATAACACCCTTAGACAGGCTATGAATGATGTGCCAGCGCACCACCTGCTGATCACAGAGGGAGATATGAACGCCCGGCTTGGAAAGGAGAGTGAAGAAGATTCCCGTTGGTACTTTCATACTCGTACCAATCGGAATGGAGAGCTACTGAGAGACACTGCCCTGGAGTGCGATATGGAAATTACCAATATCCGCTTCAGAAAGAAGGTCAACAAGAGGTGGACCTTCTTATCTGATGGGACACTTAACAAAGGTCAGATTGACTATATCCTGGTTCACGTACTGTAGTGCGACACGTACTCTAGTGCGACACGTACCCTAGTGCGAAACCTCCAAGATCGACACTGTCGCACTAGAGTACGCTACCTGGATCGTAGTGCGACACGTACCCTAGTGCGACAGAAAATTTTCAAGGCCGACACTGTCGCACTACAGTGCGCTACTTGGACTGTAGTGCGACACGAACTAAAGTGCGATATTTTAAAGTTTTAATGACAAGAGTGTCATCTGAAAGTACTTCCGTACTGCTGAGGTCTCTGCGTTGTATTCCGGGACTAGGTCATGTTGCTGCATCTTCCTCAAAAATGCTTGCTTGTGGTGGAAGAAGCATCCTCTCTTGGTGGTAGTGGGCCAGGTTGTCTCCACAGCGTTTATCAGGGCTCTCTCGCAGTCACTCATGACAGATTGAGGGTCGACTCCAAATGCAAGAGGCTCATCCAAGAGGGCTTCATAATGAGCCTGTGTCTTTCCGGGGAGTAAGCCGAATGCAAGGGGAATTCAGTGCATCGCCAGTAGGTCTTGTCGTCGCGCTTCTTATTCAGGCAGTAGCGGTATCCGTCGTGGATAACGTTTCTTGAACCAGTAGTTTGTCGAGAAATGAAGATGATTGAAGAAGACATGTTGATGTTGTTCGATGCTTTGGTAGAATCATCGTGACCTTATATATGGCCCAAGCATATGAACTTGTTATCCCAATCGGAGATATACGATGCGTGTAATAGGAAAGAGGATCATTATATGCTGCTTACGAGTTACCCGGTGGATCACACACTGCATACGTGGCTTGAACTGACCCGAAGGAATTATGATCAGTGGATCACTTCGAAACACGTGATGTGAACCGACGAATCGTATTCGCAAGATCACTTCAAAATAAGTGACGTGAACCGACCCGACAAATCCATAAAAAGGATAGGATGTGACCTGAACTTGGAAATAAGTCAGGATATTTTGTCGCACTAGAGTACGCTACCTGGATCGTAGTGCGACACGTACTGTAGTGCGACAGAGGGTGTTTTTGTCGGACTTCGCACTAGAGTACGTGTCGCACTAGAGTACGTGTCGCACTACAGTACGATTACCCTATATCCTCATACGGCGGAAGTGGAAAAACTCATTAAAGAACACTGAAGTTTACAACACTTTTCAGTCGTTGGGATCTGATCACAGAGTTGTAGTGTGTAAGATCAAAGTTAGCTTTAGGAAAGGACACAGGCCTCCGAAAAAAGTTAACTATGATTATAGTGCCCTGAAATCGGATGGTGAGCTTCAAAAAAAGTATGCAATTGAAGTTCGGAATAGATTCTCTTGCCTGGTAGAGGAGGATGATGGGGCCACTGAAAGCTACGGGAAGCTTATGGTTGCTATTGAGGCGGCAAACAAGAGCCTTCTGCCAAAGAAGACTCGACAAAAGCAGATTGACCCCTCAAGTGACCCAAGAGTGGATAGTGCAAGGAGGGGACTGTTCTTGGCCAAGGACCAATACCATCAGGAGCCTTGTGAGGAGAAGAGAGAGGAAGTCGCCACTAAAAAGGATTTGTTAAAGGCCTGCTACAAAGAGGTAGAGGAGGAGATCCTGAAAGGAAAGATCAGGAAAGTTGAGGATACTGCTGATCGTTGTAAGAACAAGGAAAGCTGGAAGCTTGTCAACGATATTTCAGGGAGGACAAATCCCAGCTGTGGACTCGTGGAAGGGGGCAGCTCAACAGAACGTCTTGAGAACTGGAGGAAGCACTTCTCTGGGTTACTTGGACAGCCACCCACAGTCCCTGACAATAGTATTCCGATCAGGAATATACACCCTCCACTGAATATAGAGGATGGCCCGTTCACCATTGAGGAACTACGTCTTGCCAAAAAGCAGATAGTAGAAGGCAAAGCTTATGGTGATGATGGTATCTCACCTGAAGTGATGAAGAGGGTGGACATCGATGACGTCATCCTGAAGTTCTGCAACGATGCATTATGTGATGGTCTCATGCCCGATCAATGGAAGCTCAGTAATATTGTTCCTGTGCCAAAGAAAGGGGACCTCACTAAGACCGACAACTACAGAGGAATATCTCTGACATCGATAGTCAGTAAAACTCTGAACAAAATGTTGCTGAACAGGATGAAGCCAAGTCTTGAGGAAGTTTTAAGGGACAACCAGAATGGCTTTAGACCTGGGCGCTCTACAACATCACACATCCTTGCTCTACGAAGAATTATGGAGGGTGCTAGAGCCAAAAATCTTAAGGCCACCATGGTCTTCATTGATTTCAAAAAGGCGTTCGATAGTGTGCATAGAGGTTTGCTCATGAAGATATTGAAAGCATATGGCATACCAGAAGCCATAGTGCGGCTCATTGAGGGTATCTATACGAGCACAAAGGCTAAAGTAGTTACAGCCGATGGTATAACAGAAATTTTTGATATCCTGGCTGGAGTACTGCAAGGAGACACTCTTGCCCCGTACTTGTTCATTATCGTGATTGACTATATCATGACAGTATCTATAGACGATGATGACTCGGACTCTGGGTTTACTCTCAGGCCTGCACGGAGTAGAAGGATTGGTGCCGAGAAGATCGCAGACGTCGAGTTTGCAGATGATGTTGCCCTTATCACTGATACCATTGAAGGGGCAAAACTACTCCTGGACAGGCTTGAGAAAGCTGCACTGAGTGTTGGGCTAGCCATGAACGGCTCTAAAACTAAGTTCATGACTCTGCACATGACAGAGGAGGCGAGTAGTCTTAATAGCTGTTCTGGAAACCAGCTGGAAAAGGTGACAGACTTTGTTTACCTTGGAGCTTGGATAGCAACAACAGAGAGGGACCTGCGGGTCAGAAAAGCTAAGGCTTGGGCAGCCTGCCACAAGCTAAAGAAGATGTGGAAGTCTGACCTTAGAAGAGGACTAAAGATCCGTCTATTTGTTGCTACTGTGGAGTCAATACTTCTTTATGGTTCTGAAACGTGGACGTTGACAGAGCAATTGAAGAAACGCATTGATGGCTGCTACACTATAATGCTAAGGATGGCACTTAATGTGGATTGGAAGCAGCGAAAAACCAACAAAGAAGTCTATGGCAACCTACCGAGAGCAACCATGAAGATCCAAGAGCGCAGGATGCGATTAGCAGGCCATATCCACCGGCACCCAGATCTAGTCGTAAACCGCTTGCTACTCTGGGAACCAACTCATGGGGTGCGGAGTAGGGGGAGACCAGCCATGACCTATGTTGATAGCCTACGAGCTGACACGGGTCTCAACGACACTGGAGAAATGGGCGGACTTATGGCGGATAGAGTTTTATGGAGACAGCGCATCAATACTCGGACGCTGAAGCCGCCTTAAGTCAAGTCAGTAAGTCAAGTACATTACGCGTGCCACGTACAAATTGGGCTTATTACCTTAGAATACTATACATTACATAGTATATACAATATACATTAAAATACACTGGCGCCGCGCATTCATTGACCACAGGCTAGCTATGGTCAATGAATGGCTAAAAAATCACACACAGGATTTCGTAACTCGGTTACATTAATTTAAAAATGTTAATATTAACTTACCAGAGCATTCGGGAGTAAGATCGAAGAGCAGAGCTTCAAATATGTGGATCTTCGTTTCAGGTTTGCACCTGATCGATAATTGTTCATTTTTGTCGAACTCAAACTGAGCCAGGTGGAGTTCTGAAACAGGTTGAAATTCATCAATCGGGCAGAGATGCTCCAAAAACGAGTTCTTAAGGATGCCGTGGGTCTAATATTATCTAATCAAAAATTATTAGATAATTACGTATCTGCAGGGTAATCAAAACACATGATTGAACGAAACAACGAATAATTTATAAATACAATAAGAAATAAATGTAAAGGTTTTCAGACGAACCTTGTCCTCTTGCTTTGCTTTGACATTCCCGATACACATCAGTTGAAAAGTTAACATTAATCAGGACGCTTGAATTCTCCCATCCAAACGTTGTGCTGTTCTGTTTGTAGCATCCGGTGTATGTCGTACTCTTCTTCGGATCAGCTGATTCTGATAGTATCATGTGACATATCACAGATAAGGTCGCAATTCTGATTTCCATGAAATCCCTACAGATGTTCTAAAATTTATGTTTGCGGAACTAATTTGTGCATTACTAATACACAATAGCCCGGAAGACTGGCATACTACTATCATCGAATGTAAAAATAAACATCTGAAAGATTTAAATTTATATTATTATATATATGTAAAATTTCACAACTATAGTTTTAACACTGCCTTCACATAATCAATAGTTCTTAAGAATATCAGGTTTTATTTCCTTTCAGAACCATATAGAGACGAAATTGCAACTCATCGGAAAGTTGCCAAGAACAAACTTTATTAAAGTTAGGATCAAATGAGAAAAATTTATTTTTAATTGTAGTTGACGAAATGAGAGTCTCCACTCAGTGTGTTAGAACATAATTCTTTGTCGACGTTTCGGCTACATGCCTTTGTCATAAACAGGACGTACTGAAAACTTACATAGCTGCAAAGATACAATGTTAAAATAATCTATTAAAATAATCTATTAATACTACGAAATATAACAACAACAAATAACATCTTGAAACACAACAACAATCACAAATTTATCCAAAAGAAACATAAAATATAACGGCTAAAAGAATCCAAACCGCAACAAGCCGTGAACAATTCTTCATAATACTACAAACATTTTACCAAGATAGCTCCTTCATAAAACTGATTAATCAAAAATTATCTAGGTTTATAAGTTCAATATTACATTAACTTCCAAGTATATTTTATCCAATCACCTTCATTTACGGACTCAGACAATTGAGTATTTATTTCTGGGTTTTCACGTTTTATTAGAACCGACTGCCACAATTGACGGTCCACATAGTCTTTACATCTTTTTCGAACTATAAACCGAAACGGTATGTTTGGCATTGAAATGTCTGCATGCTCCTCTAGGTAGTGCTTCCCCATGGCCGTAGATTTGTTGCCATCCCTTACTGATTTGTAGTGTTCCCAGGCTCTACTTCTTTTAAACCTACCAGTTTCCCCAATGTAGGACTTATTACATATTTGGCATATTAATTGGTAGCAAATGTTTTTGATCATGCAGGATTTATCGCACTGGTAACACGTTCTCCAGGCAGTGAAAGCCGCAGTTATATTGGATTATGACCAGGCCCTAGGAAAGAAACAACACCACACCACTCTGAAAACTATTGACCAACAACAGAAGATAGTTAAAGAGCTGAGAGCTAGGGACGACATTGCCAAGAATAAAGTTTATTAAAGTTAGGATCAAATGAGAAAAAACGTAATTCATTTGATAGGAAACTATCTAACTATGTTTCAAAATTTGCTCCTTCATAAAAATTATTGTATACTTTAAAAAATCCCAACATTGTTTCTTCCATCAACCTGTATTTTCAGTGTTCTAAAGTTACAATAACCGACTAGCTATCATTATAAATATCAAGAGCAGTTTCGACGGGTGCAACCCTTTCTGACTGATGTTGCTATAAAAACTGAAAACAGGGATTCTTGCCCTTTTAAAATCTATGATTCGACTGTGCATAATATCACAAATTCTAATTTACACATTGAGATTAGATCCACGATGTTAGGGGTCGTTCACATCTTACTATATATAAAGCGAGACGATATATATATATATCCGTACCATTTTACTGACACCACGACATCAACTTTAACACGACTTTCCGCAAAAACCGTAAAAGATATACAACTTAAACTTTTTTGACTGGTTCAAATGCTCTAATGATCTTCAAATCAGCATGAAAAAATAAAAAAATGGCCAAGGAATAATAATTTTAGTGCCCAAAATGTGGACCCCCAAGTGGTGTCAAAAACGCGAATTAAATAGGTAATAATTATTTTAGTCTCTTGAGTCTTGACACCACTTTAGACGGGTTCCTGCTAGTATTTATAGTATGTGAATCAATAGTAGTAATCAATATTTTAACAATTTTTACCACCCGCCCCGTAATCAACAGTAAGCATTTGGAAACCCCCCCCCCTCTCGGCTGATAACGTAATATGTAAACGACCCCTTAAGGTTTGAAGGTGATGAACTAACATTTGTACTGTTTCTAATGAATATTACTTCAATTTGTAATTGCAGATGCAACACATCGAGTATGTGCAAAATGTTGTGAAACAGAAGTAAACAACTTTAATAAGTAATTCTGTTTCCTCCGAAGATAACTGTGTACATTAAGTTCTCAAAGATGTAATATAGAATTGACCAACCGATTAATCAACATTTTTGATTAAATCTTTGTTATTATTATTAGTCAAAATATCTCTGTTGTGTTTTTTAGTCTTTGTCTGTGTTCGAGCATGTACTAAGTAAATTAGGTAAGCTATTTCCTGATATTATTTTATAATGAAATTACTTAATTTTTATTTTGTAACTGCATAATTGTATTATTACTGAGTGTTTCATTATTTAATTTAAGAAGATTACGAATATTTATGAAGATTTGTTTGCTAATATCCGATATTCACCACTCGTCAAGTATAGCGCACTACAGTCTGATGTATTTTCAGGATGAGAGTTGTTGAAGATCGACAAATAAAACACGTGACATTCAATGCATAATGTTTGACTTTGAACGACTTATTTCACAAATTCGAACGATAATAATTGTAAACACACAAAAAATGTTACGGAAATGTTTGTATATGTAAGTGTAGGTGTCCTTTCATTCCAAGTACGGTGCAGCACTAGAGGGCTGAAATCCTCAGTCCTAGTCTCCTTTGTGATGGGGGTGACGCCTATGGTGGTGACGCCTGTGGTGGCGTCTCTTGGCATGAACTTTCCTAGCACGTGCCCTCTTGGCACGGAGTCTCTTAGCACGTGCCCTCTTGGCACGAAGTATCTTAGCACGTGCCCTCTTGGCACGGAGTCTCTTAGCACGTGCCCTCTTGGCACGGAGTCTCTTAGCACGTGCCCTCTTGGCACGGAGTCTCTTAGCACGTGCCCTCTTGGCACGGAGTCTCTTAGCACGTGCCCTCTTGGCACGGAGTCTCTTAGCACGTGCCCTCTTGGCACGGAGTCTCTTAGCACGTGCCCTCTTGGCACGGAGTCTCTTAGCACGTGCCCTCTTGGCACGGAGTCTCTTAGCACGTGCCCTCTTGGCACGGAGTCTCTTAGCACGTGCCCTCTTGGCACGGAGTCTCTTAGCACGTGCCCTCTTGGCACGGAGTCTCTTAGCACGTGCCCTCTTGGCACGGAGTCTCTTAGCACGTGCCCTCTTGGCACGGAGTCTCTTAGCACGTGCCCTCTTGGCACGGAGTCTCTTAGCACGTGCCCTCTTGGCACGGAGTCTCTTAGCACGTGCCCTCTTGGCACGGAGTTTCTTAGCACGTGCCCTCTTGGCACGGAGTCTCTCAGCACGTGCTCTCTTGGCCCGGCCATGATTGTGGCGGAGACGGGGACGGCGATGGCGGTGGTGATGATGGTGGCCACGACGGTCAGCTTCAGAACTATCTTCAGAACTAGCTATCGTCCCAACTTCAGTATCTGTCTCAGCTTTTTCTTCTGAAATTGAGCGTGAATTTTGAAATAATTTGCATCGTACAATGATCATTATCGATGACAGAAAAGTTATCGTAGCACGCAGCTGATCCGATTTGATTCATAATAATTTGCAATGGAGTTAGAAAAATCTATGATTGGTATTTTATTACCTTCGGCTGCAGCAGTGCAGTAGAGAACAGCGGTGATGACCAAGAAAAGCAAGAACACCTTCATCTTCAAAGTTTGAACCGGTGACTAAACAAGTTTAATCTCTCTTCCTGTAAAACACAAGGAGAACAATTACAATGTTATAATGAAATTATGCGGTTATGCTCACCCTTTTATAGTTCCTTTTAATCCCATAAATTGATGCAAGGGGAGCCTTTTTTCCTACCGGGTATTGCGCAAACCTATATTTAGCCTGTATTAAAGTTGTTATATTAGCATAATATTACTAGCTTTAAGAATTATTTGTGAAATGTGCAAGGAAATGCCAAGCTAGGACGATGCATTGTATTGTATTTGTATAATTTTGTTCGAAAATATTACATTTTTAGAATAAGCTTGTTTTGGATCCTTGGGTGCGCCAGATACTATACAGAATACCATGATTTAGGATATGCAATCTGGATGCCCGATGATCATCAGAACAGAAACGTAACTATTGGGGGTAGCCGCCTCATAAAGGCGGCTTACAAATATATTTTGAGATTTAACCAAAATAGGTTGACGTGAGAAACGTTATCCTCCTATAGATATATCTCGCTGAAGTATTTCCTTGTGTTTGACATGAACTGTAATACGGTCTTATTATTATTTCATAACTACTCAAATTTTGCGGTAATTGGATCAATATGAAAAACCGAAAGTTTACAATATTGATACGATATAACGCTACAGGCATTTCAGAATCATAAGTATTGTAACTAAACAATAAAACACCTACTCCTGTGCATACTAATATCCCCCTGATTCTAATGAGTGTATGTAATGAGTGTATGTAATGAGTGTATGTAATGAGTGTATGTAATGAGTGTATGTAATGCGTGTATGTAATGAGTGTATGTAATGAGTGTATGTAATGAGTGTATGTAATGAGTGTATGTAATGAGTGTATGTAATGAGTGTATGTAATGAGTGTATGTAATGAGTGTATGTAATGAGTGTATGTAATGAGTGTATGTAATGAGTGTATGTAATGAGTGTATGTAATGAGTGTACGTAATGAGTGTATGGACACGTTTTTTTTAAGTGTGGTGAGTTGCTGATTTCACCTTTTTCAAAGTAGAGTGCACAAAATGAGGAAAAAGTCGCAATGCTTTTTAAAGTGCAACCATACATTTGTACATAGGATGAAGTGAAAATATTCAGCAGTTGTGATTTGAAAAAACGAAGTGCCAGGCTCAAGCAGAATATGACTTATGAGCAATTAAACTGAGTGCCAAAAATCAGCAAACCATTTTAACCTCCAATTGACTAATTCCATTGATTTCGCCATATTTTGCTCAAATATTGTTCACATAACACTA